ATACATTATGTTTTAAGGAATTTGAAAAAAANAAAAAAAAAAAAAGGAAAATTTAAAAAACGATAAGAGAAATATTTCACAGATTGAAATTCATTTATTAAATGTATATTTCATCAATTTTAAATGATAAAAACTTGAAATCATTGAACCAATTTCGGGACGTTTATTTGTCCATTTTATTATTTCTATTTTTTTTTTTTTTTGTATTTGATAAAAATGATAAAAGACATTCACATTTTTTTTTAATTCTAAAATTTAAAAATTTTAAATGACACAAATTTACGATTTTTTTTCAAAAATACATTCCACATCATTACTTTTGAATATGATAGTATTTAAATTGGTATAAGTTAAAAATCAAGTTTCGATATTTCATTAAATTATGCAAAATGCGACGAGAAATGAACAATATCGAAATAAGATAAAAGTGACCAATCGATATTGGCATTATGATAAGATTGAAATGACCAAATGATAACAATGAAAGCAAAAACAAAAGCATTAATTAAAACTCAAAAAAAAACATCATGATTGGTTAATTAATTAATTAGGATCAATATTCTAATCATTAGGAAAGCGAAAACCACAAGTTACATTGCGCATTTGAAAAATTGACTTAAGGAATTATTCGTTTAATATGAATTTTAACAACTATCCAACATATATTTTAAAATCGGCTAATTAAAAAATTTTGATTAAAAAAAAAAAGCCAAACGAACTTTATCTTTATTTCCGCCAAAAAATTTAATTTTAAGCATTTTTTGATTGCTATTAGTTGTATCGGTGATACTGCTTGATGCTGAAGTTGAAGGAGCTGTACTAATAGTTGATGGTGTTGAGGTATATGTTCCGGAACTAGCTAACGAACTACTTCGAGATGATGGTCTTGACTGCTCATTATTATTCAATCTGAAAGTGCTATCATCGATTGACTTTCGTATAATATTTTAAAATCAAACTAAATTTGAGCTATTTTTCAAAATATCCAAGCAAGAATGATAAATTTTATAATTTAAAATTACAATTTTAAATTCATTTAAACATATTATCATTTAAATAAAAAAAAAAAGAAAGAAAACTGATTAAAGTTAAAATATAAATTAAGCGCTATTTTTTTGAAAAAAATTAAAATATGAATAAATTAAATGTTAAATTGTAAAATTAATAAAACAAATTATTTTAGAATTGTAATTTAAAATATATTATAAAATTAAAAAAGTTTAAATTATAGCAATACCCAGATGTTTTAATCGTTGGTGGATGAACACGTATAACAGGAGCACGAAGTGCTGATGCTTTTGGTGATGTAAGTTTAGATGATGTTGTCGTTGTAGTTGTAGTTGCTGTTTGCAATGAATAACCTAAAAGACTAATATTATTGTATTTTGTGTTTAAAAAAAAAAAAAAATAATATATAATTAATTATTAAAAATAGAAAAACAAAATTAATTGCATCAAATAAAATTAATTTTTTGTTTCCTTTTTTGTTATGAAATTTTTTTTTATTTTATTTTAAATTTCATACACATAATAATAATGAAATAGTAAATTTCACAAAATTTTTCAAATAGTATTAGTATAAGAAAGGCGAAAAAAAGAGAGAGAGAGGTGGATAGAAAGAGAGAGAGAGAGAGAGAGGTAGGGAAAAGAGAGAAAGAGAAAGTGGAAAAAATAAAATAAATTTTAAAAAAATAATAAAATTATTAAAAGTAAAATTAATTTAAAAAGATTTAATTTATTAAGAGAAAGTTGGTAGGAAGTAAAGGTAGAAATGAAAAGGATAGAATGAATGAATGTATATAATAGTATTCAAGGATGGTTTATGTGACAATGTTCGGTGAATAATATGATCAAAAAAAAGAAAACGAGAAAGAAAAGAAGAGAAAGAGATAGGAAATAGTTTTTAAAGGTAAAGATGATAAAATGATCTTTTATATAGATGAAAAAAGAAAAAAATAATAATAAAGGAGAAGTTTTACAAAAAAAAAAGAAAAAAAATACGATTGTAACAGAAAAAAGAAATCAAAAAAAAATAAATAAAAGTCAAAAATTGAAAAAAAAGAAAAAAAAAGTTATTATCATTTTTATGCAAACTATTTTTAATTAATAATAGTATTAAATCAAATTTTACAATTACTAATTTTCAATCATTCATTGTATTTGTTATCAATTGTGAACGATTGGTAAAATTCGGTAACATCGTTTATTATCAGTATTAAACGATTGATAAAATTTGATAACATTAAATGTTATTTTTGTAGCATCAAACTTTATCAGTTAATTGATAGTATTTAATCTTTTTTTTTGTGATAATAAATGTTTCATTTAATTTCTTATACTGTTTGATATTTTATCTGTCTATATTTTTTTCCTATCTTAAATTACAATAATCAAATGTACTGTTTGATTAGATGTACAAGAAAACATATTTCATTGTATAGGTATTTATGCAAAAATTTCGAAAACAAATTTTAATTCAATTAAAATTCTATTTTATTTTATTTAAAATGCGAATTTTTATTAAAATAAAAGTGCAAAAGAAAATAGACATTTGCGCAAAAATTTCGAAAACAAATTTTAATTCAATTCGAATTTTATTTTATTTCATTTAAAATGCGAATTTTTATTAAAATAAAATGATAAAGAAGGAAAAAAAGAAAAAGATATAAATGAAAAATAAATTCTGATTAATTTTATTACACTTATTAATGCTACATTCATTGTCCATTTTCTAACACTTATTTTAAAAAGCTTTAAATAGCCATCAATTTAATGCTACGAGATCGATGCTTAACTTCATTAGCAACAACTAGCATTGAATCCACAATGTGTGTCGCATTAATACTGCTATTACAGACTTGCTAGTTAGCTATTATGCAAATGGCTTTCTTTTAGCTTTAGTATCTAGCAAACTTTCATTATAGATAAATTCCCATGTGAAATAACTAGCCTTAGGCTATGAAAAATGGAAGTAAATTTTAACTTTTACTATGAAAATTGAACTGAATTATCATAAGCTTAGTTTAAAATTTATAAAAACTATAAATTATTCCTTAAAAATAGCAACATTTGCATGTTTATCCAATAAAATTTTAATTCAATTCAGCTATATATTATAAGCTAAGTTGTAAAATACAAAAAAGAATGAAACGAAAACAGATGAATTCGATAAAATCAATAGAAAATAATTAAGCTACTATTAATAAATTTTCAAATTTTTAAGCAAATCATTTTTACCAGAAAATTTCACAAAACTTTCATTGTTAAAATTATGAAATTTAAAATATAAGAAAAAATTTGAAATTAATCAAAGGAAATTAATTATTAAGCATAAACGATGATTTATGATTAAATTATAAATGAAAGAGCAAGGAATAATAATAATTGCATGATAATATTCCATTATTTATCATCATTTAAATTTACTTCGAGAAATATTTTTGTCTAATCGAGAATGATGCATACATCGATAAACGAACATTGTATTTCCATTACCATTAATTAAACTATTTTAGGAATGAGACATGGAAAAGTGACATGTCAAAGGAGTAACGTAAAGTATGCAAATGAAAAATGCAAAATATGCATATAAAGGAAATATGGAATTAAAAAGAAGAAAGGAGAATAAAGTATTTTTCCTATTAATTCATTTTTTAATTGTAAATGAGATTGATTATTACTCCAACTTTTTTCTTTCCTTTTTTTTTTCTATGAATGGATAAAAGTTAATTGAAAGTTAATAATATATTTGAGGAAGTATGACTTCAAATTAAGATAATTAACATTTTTTAATTCAATTTCATCTATAATTTAAATTATAAAAAAAAAAGATTCTTTCATATTTTAATTCCAGTTTTTCTAGTTCAATTGACATATTTCAGATTCAACCGATATTTTGAATTTATCGAAATTAAAACATTTTTATTTTAAATTTTTTTATCAAAATTCCCAATAATATCATTGTTATTGAAAATTTCACAATGTATTTTAATTGTTCCATACAAAATATCATTTTATATTTATCGAATTTTTTCAACACTTTTTTTAATTCGAATTTTATTTGGTAATAAAATGTATCAGCTGAGAGGAAAAAAAACGTGAAATAAAAAAATTACATTAAAAGGAATCACGTGAATGTACACGTAAAATAAATTGATAATGCTGAAAGAGAGAAAGGAAAAAATTTTGCTTTAAAAGTAAACCAAATTTTTAACTAATTACTTTCTTCTTTTTATCCCCTATCAAAGTTAAAAGATACAGTTCAAAGATCTTAGAAAGCCTAAAATGTATGAGACAAAAAAAAGAAAAAGTAATTATGGTTCACGTGATATATTACGTGATACGTGAACCGTAATTACTTACTCTAACTTGATTAACTTGAAAAGTTTCTTTGAAAGATTACCAATGGTAAATTTCTGGAAATAAAGAAGATAAAGGAAGGACAATGCTCTTATTCATCCTCTTAGAGGATAGAAATGTAAGCAATAAAAGAAGAAATACATTTATTCAATTAAAACAATTAATGGAAGCTTATGTGTCATTTGATTTTGTCATTACGACATAAGCAATAAAAGTCAAGAAGTTTAATTGAAATATATGATAGCTATGGAATTAGCTATTATAACTGACCATTGTCCACTTTCTTCCTTCCTCATTTTTCTATTATAGCCAAAATATTTGATTAATTTTGAGATTTAAAATATTCTTAGATTCCTAGCATAGAATATGAATAGATGAGATTAATTAAAACATTTAAAAATATTCTAATTAATGTATTTAAACGATTTGTAGTAACTGATATATGAATTATTCATGCATTCTTTTTTGATAACATTAAAATTATATTTTAACACTTACTTATTCAGTTTAGTTAATCGGTTTTATATTAACAAAAAAAAAAAACTGAACGACAAAAAAAAGGAAGTATTTTCAAATATTTCCTAAGGGAAATCAAAACTGTTTCAAATGGGTTATAAATAGGAATAGATAGAATAGAAGCAAAAAAAAAAAAAAAAAAAAA